TTCTTAAATATATGTAACAAAGTTGAAGGTGTTATTAATATTGTTTTTAAATATAGGTAACAAATGTGAAGGTGTTATTAATATTTTTAAATATAGGTAACAACTTTGAATGTGTTATTAATATTGTTCTTAAATATATGTAACAAAGTTGAAGGTGTTATTAATATTGTTTTTAAATATAGGTAACAAATGTGAAGGTGTTATTAATATTTTTAAATATAGGTAACAACTTTGAATGTGTTATTAATATTGTTCTTAAATATATGTAACAAAGTTGAAGGTGTTATTAATATTGTTTTTAAATATAGGTAACAAATGTGAAGGTGTTATTAATATTTTTAAATATAGGTAACAACTTTGAATGTGTTATTAATATTGTTCTTAAATATATGTAACAAAGTTGAAGGTGTTATTAATATTGTTTTTAAATATAGGTAATAAAGTTGAAGGTGTTATTAATATTGTTTTTAAATATAGGTAATAAATTTGAAGGTGTTATTAATATTGTTTTTAAATATATGTAACAAATCTGAAGGTGTGATTAATATTGTTTTTAAATATAGGTAATAAATTTGAAGGTGTTATTAATATTGTTTATATGATGCCTCACAGTTGAATAGGCGAGCATGTTCAATGACGGGATTCGAAACCGCGACTCGAAAATTCCGAGTTCAATGTCCTCTCTTTTGGCATCAGACCATGTATTAGCTAATTGCACTCTGGCTTATAAAAGGTTTCATCATGAAAAAATGTCATGAAATATATGCGTTTAAAGAATTTTCGTCGTTTGTTTGTTGTTATGCACAAAGTTACACAACAAGATACTTGTACTCTGACCTCTGCGGATATCGAACGAGATTTTTGACGTTATAAGCCCTCAGATATCTCGCTGGACCACTGGGGCCCCGGGGGTCATTTCGTATAATTAGTAACCTAAGATTACATTATAATTATAATGGTTGAATTTGGCTCAAACCCCAAACTTAATAAACAGACATACCTATAACCCATTGTCATAGAAATGTGTTGGGCAATTACTTCTTAGCTCTTAAATAGTGAGTCCTATAAACTATCGAAAATTGTATGAGTTTGATATAAATAGGAAAAAATATA